GGATCATGACCTGAGCCGAAGGCAGTTGCTTAACCAACTGAGCCACCCAGGCGCCCAGGGACAATCATTTCTAAGAGGCTGTCTGGTAACATGAACCAAACTAACTTCACTAACAGTGTCCCCCATATGAGCAGCAGACCTCAGAACCTAGTTGGTTCTTTTCTTTTCCTGTGTGTGTGTGTTTGCTGTTTGCGGGCACTCCGCATGACTATGGGTGTGTTAGCAATTACCAAGGGTGAAACAGGAACAGCACACTGCCTTATCTTGCTGGTTTCCCAGTGTCACTAAATGCACTTTATTTTGAGATTCCTGGTGGTGCTTGGCAAAGATAAACAAAATCTTCCATCAGGAAACCTGTGAGCTATTTCCACAGGAAGTTTCAAATCACTAAAGTAAATAGAAACTCTACATGATCTCAGTGGTGTTACTTGGGCTCGCTTGGGTTCTAACCACCAGGACGGGACCTCATAATAAATGGAAAGCCTGTGTATGGCCTTGGAAGAAATGATTTGACTGCAGTCCATACACAATACTTTGGGTATCTGTGTAAAAGTGGATGGTTGATGTTTTATTCCGCCGCAGGCTTGGAAAATGTCCCAAATATAAAAAGATGCTGAATTAGAGGGGCTATTTCTGACACCTTATTGTTGTGTTAAAAATGACTGTCAGCTGCTTCTGCATCTTCTGGCACATTCTTAGATATTCATTTTAAAAGCAGGAAAAACCTCTGCTGGTCTCCTCTCTCTCCAACCACTGACAGCTTCATAAGCCACTGCTATCCCAGCCCCCAGGTTTCAAATGAATACTTTGGCATTTCTTCAGACGTGACACTTTATAATAAAGCCAAAGCCCAGAAAAATCAGAAAAACAAGCAAAGTCAGATTTAGGAAAGAGTTGATATGATATCTAATTTTGGACTATTGTCCCCTTAAGGTTTAAAGGTTTCTTTATAGCTTTGTGTGCAACGGATAATAATAATAATAGCAGAACATAGTGCTTTTCATCTTCAAAGTACTTTGTAAAATGTTGGCCCAAATTCTTTGCTCAATACAGATACGCCACTAAGTAACAAGCAATGGGAGGGTTTGGGAGCGGGTCAGTTCGGGGCCAGTAACCAATGATTTTTTTTTTTTTTTTTTTTTTTAATCCTCTGGGGAAATGGTCCAAAATGAGACTAGGGAACTCGGAGCGCAAAAGCTAAGTGACAGTCCAGGGTAAGAAAGCTGAGGAGGAGAGCTCACAAGGTGTTGCCGGAGATGGAAATGAAGGTTAGCTGGGGATTGACAGGAGAGAAATGGCTTTGAATGGCATATTCACCTTCTGAAAACCTTTACTATGTTATTGAGAGGAAATACGGTTTTTTAACCGTATTTGCCCCCCACTTGCCCCCACTTCTGAAATGAAGCAACTCTCCCAGATTAGTTGGCTGCACTTTGTTCTTTTATGTCGGAATAGAATGATCACCGTGAAAGGGGACCTGAGCAAGAAACACGGCTCTTCTGTGCCCACAGTGCCCGCCGAGAGCAGGCGAGGTGGTGGTGCAGCAGTCGGAGCGGGATACTGTCGGTCCGCTTGTTGGAAACTGGGGCAATCAGTTGGGTGTTTTTATTGGAAAAGTTTAGGATTAAAGTGGTACTGACTGGCAGGACTGATGTCTCCTACCGTGTACCTGGGACTTCCTCTTCTCACCTGGTCACAACTTTTTCTGGATAAGTCTGACCATAACACCACCCTTGGTTTTTCGTACAGGTCGCTCTTTTAGGACTTCCCTATTTTGCCCACTCACCCACCGGTAGAAGTTCTAGATGTATTACAGAAATGGGGAATGTGGCTATCACCGCAAGGTGTACAACAAATTCCACTTTGAAAAGCAACGTGGTGCAAACAGGGAAAATGTCCCCATCCCAATAACCAGCCTGCTTGGCACCTGCTGCCTCGCTTCTTACGGAACGAACTTAGTTGGTTCCTATGTGGGTTTGATCAGTTCCCCTAACACGAAAAGATAAATACTCACCCTTTTAATGCTGATGCTGAGAGAATTTGTGTCAGAACGGTTCTTAAGATCTGTAACGATCTCCAGGGGAGACACTGATTTTTCCATGAACTGAAGTTCTTTATTCTTATTTTATAGACGTGCCAAATGGATTTCATGTTAACTTGGAAAAAATGCCTACGGAAGGAGAGGACCTGAAACTGTCTTGCACGGTTAACAAGTTCTTATACAGAGACATTACTTGGATTTTGCTGCGGACAGTTAAAAACCGAACAATGCACCACAGCATCAGCAAGCAAAAAATGGCCATCACTAAAGAGTACTCCGTCACTCTCAATGTCACCATCAAGAACGTTTCCCTGGAAGATTCAGGCACGTATGCCTGCAGAGCCAGGAACATATACACAGGGGAAGAAATCCTTCAGAAGAAAGAAGTTACAATTAGAGGTGAGCACTGCAACAAAAAGGCTGTTTTCTCTCGGATCTCCAAATTTAAAAGCACAAGGAATGATTGTACCACACAAAATAATGTAAAACATTAAAGGACTCATTAAAAAGTAACAGTTGTCTCATATCATCTTGATTTATTGTCACTGTTGCTAACTTTCTGGCTCAGAGGAGATGCTCCTCCCAAAATGAGTTTGGAGATGATAGGAGTGATAATGAGCTCCCAAGGTCCCAGCTCTGGGCTCCCCACTCAGGCTGAGGGCTCTGCTCTCTGGGGCCAACTTGGTGCGCGTTTGGATTTGGAGGATCCCTGCAGTGCATTCTCTGTTTTTGCTCTTTGCTGTCTTCTCCTGCCTGATAAACAACAACTTGGGACTGATCCTTTCCTCCCACTTTGATGCCAACCTCTTTGTATTTTTAAGTTTCGAAGCTACGCAAACTGAATAATTTAAACAAATGATGGTTTCTGCCAAAGATGGACATGAATAAGTTAATTTTCCAGCTCAGAACGAGTTACAGTTGAATTTGAGACTCTTATCGGACCTCTGCTTGGTTTTATTTTGTACTATTTCATCCGCTCTCGATTTGTAAATAGCACCTGGATAGCAAGTTATAATGCTTATTTATTTGAAAATGCTTTTTTTTTTTTTTTTTTTACATTAAGCACATTAATCTTAAACTGGAGCTTCTAAAATGGGCCCCAGGAGTGCAAGATGTCGGTGTAATCCAGAGGTATTAAAGCTTTATCACAGTATGGATTCAGAATGCCCACCCAGGTCAAGGCCACGTCCTGCCCCTGTGCACTCTGGGTAGCCAGCCGATTAGCACTGCAGGCTTCCCCCTCACTGCCCCTGAGTGGACTATACAGCCACTGACCACATCTGAAAATATGTGCATCATGCCTTCGCCTTACTTAGATTTGTCCCCTGGTTATTCTTTTAAAGAACTCTCTCCTATCTAATTGATGGCATTCAAAGACATACCACAATCAGTTTATCAAGGCTCTTGTGACCGAAGGTTGAATGCATTCTTCTAAATGTAAATCTAAGATTTGCCCATTAAAAGAAGTCCACTTTCCCCATATGCAAATGTTCATAGGATTTTTATGGGGATTAAGAAATGGCAAAACTACAGAAGCAGAATTCAGAACCATTTAAAAATATACACCATTTTTCAATCGGGAGAGATGGAAATCTCCTCTCTCCAGCTCGCGTTTGAAGGGAAAGTGACTTTTTCACCAATTTACTATGCATTGTTCTGTTGTTTTCATTTATGATTGATCATTATATGTGCCTTGCGTGAACTATTGGAAAACAAGCCACAGTGACCAAAATAGCCATGGCTGAGAACACAGTGGCTGGGCAACTCAATAGAAGGTGACAATATGACAACTTTTCAGGCTTGGGAACTCACCAGACTGTTTCCTCCTTTAGGTAACAGACTCTGTCCCACGGCTAAACTTGTCTTTCACGTGGGAATTGCTTTTGTCAAGTGTGAAAGAGTAAACAATAGCATTTCCCCAGAATGCCAGTTTTATGGAGCCCCAAATGCTCTGAAAACAATTAGTAACCTGGAAGTTGTCAGCCCAGAGGAAAGAATAATCAATTGTATCTTGAAATTTTACCTATGGCTCTTTTGCCTGGCGTCTTTGTTCATTCTAAGTCAGCATGTTCCTTCAGGAAACAATGCCTTATACCACAGATCGTGGGGACTCCCATTTTTACTAAAGCTGAAAAAGCAAATGGGATGGTTGTGGGATTGCTGCTGAAAAAAATGCTGAAGCAGACACGCAGAAGCTATCATTTCTTTCCCCCTTAAAACTGCGACTGCAATTTTTGCAGGGCGGGGAAAGGTGTTAGTATTTACAGGAGAGGATTTTAAGTACTTCCAAGAGATCATTTTAAGAATTCCACAGAGTAATTAATTGTTTGCTGTGTAATTCATCCTTCCAGAGAGTTTCAAAGAGAAAAATCAATTGGGTGCGTTCTATTTTGTTTTGGTCCCTCTTTGGGGTGTGGAGGAAGGGGAGGATAATGGGGAAAAAGAGAAAGAAAGAAGAGCCTAAAATGGAGAATGACTGAGTTGGAGTAGAGGACATGAGGCTGGTTCCTCAGTCCCCCAGTCCAAGTGAAGATGAGAAACTATGTATTTATGAGACCTGGCAGATCTTTGTGGCCATAACACTGAAAGCTGAAAGAAGAACCTGGTGGGGAGCTATCTTTGGCTATTGATAACCAGCAGAAATATTCTGTTAATTCTGATTTTCTCCATTTGAAGGGATCACCTCCACTTTGTTAAGTTTTGGAAAGCAGCTACCTATTTCCATCGGATAACTTAGGGTTAATAATAAGGGTTTGATGTGCCTTTCTTACCTAAAATGTCAAAACAGATTATAAAGTATAAAGGGGAATTGATAAAACAATTCCTTGGTTGATCGGTCATTTAGAAACCAGTCAAAAATGAGATTGTTCACATAGGAGAGCATTTTTTTTTTTTTCCAGAAATGGGTACCAGGAAAAAATATAATACTGTGTGTTTCAGACATGTTTATATGAACTTTGTATTTAATTGAGAGTCCTATGTTTATTCTGCAGCCTTTTTGCTGCTTCTCTTGTCTGAAGTTTGTCTAGGGCAGATAGGGCCTTTGGGAGTTCTCATGACATTTCTGTTAAGATAAACTGTTCTCTTACATATAAGTGTTTTCCAGTACACCTGTAAGGGAGGTCAAATGTTGTCTATGTTGATGATGCTATAGTCTGTAGCTATGAAAATACTGTGGGTGTTGCAAGCCCTATATTCAGGCTTCCTTTTTATAATAAGGCCTATGGGCAATGATAGATAATTTTATCATATTTAGCACATGGGAAATAGTCAATGTGGTAGGGGAAGCTATTAAAATATAACTCCATGAACTGTGTCTGAGTTTTAAATGAGATATGTCAAATTTGACTTGCCATTGTAATAGACACTAAATAGTAATATGACACTGTTCTTCATTATCCTGTCGTGTTTCACTGATACGTTTGGAATCTTTACTGTGTAAAAATGTCAAAATTGTAACAATCAAGCTTGTAAAAAGTTATCAGAACTGAAGATTTTGATACCTGGCTGCATCTGCAATTAGGAAAGACCATTTGACAGACTGCACAGAATGCAAACACAGAAATGTTGAAATGGTTCTGCCTGGGGGTGCAGAACAGACTAGAAGGATACATTGATGGAAAGCAAAAGGGCCATTGTGATCACTCATTCCAAGCTACGTTTGAAGAGTTTCTAAATCAGGGCTCTCCTTTCAACGCTCTTTTTAGCCTTCAAGATTTCATTTTGTATAAAATGAGGAAAGAACTAGTGATGCGCTTTGGAAATCAAAATTTAATGAGAAAGCTGTTCCTCTGAACAGAGGGTCACCCTGCCATGTTCTGCCCTGTCAGCATGCTGTAAAAGTTATGTGATACTATACTTTTTAACCTGAGATTTCAAAATTGCTTGAATGAATGCTAATCCTCAGAGTTTCCCTGCAGGAATAAAAAGAGAAAGGTTTGGGGCGTCGGCAGCATCCTGCAGGGACATCCGTGTCAAAGGCACTGCAGTGTGTCACCCCTTAGCCCTGTAATCACTCCTAAGCTGCTTTCACAGTGTTAGTACAATAAGGTGAGGAAATCCAAACGGTCAGTGTCTATAACTGAAACCAACGGCGCAGAATGTGTAAGTTACGCCAAACCTCTTCTGATTTCTGTTCCAGGACGTGCAACAAGAGGGGGTGAAGACGATGACTCGGGAGGGTGGGAAGGACGTTAGGAGGTATCTTTATTCTTTTACCTTGGAAGCTCCAGCTACCAATCCAGCACTCGCCTAACTAGAATGTATACACATCAGCAGGACTGACTACTTCGTTAAACAGAGACACTGTACTCGCTGGGGTCTTGGGGGTACTGCTGTTCCAATGTGGGATTTTAATGTTGTAATGTATTGCATCTTAATGTATGAAATTCATTTTGTTGTACTATATTGGTTGGCATTTTATTAAAATAAATTGTATTGTATCATATTTGTATGTTTTTAAGAGAAAATAATATAAAATACAATATTTGTACTATTATATAGTGCAAAAACTACAAATCGAAGCCTCTGCCTCTTGAATTAATCCTTTGGTTGCTTGCACTGGGGAGGGGATGGAGGGACGGAAAGAATCAATAAAGCTTGCAAAGTTCAAGAAATTCTCCTGTTTGGTCTGCTGCCTCACACTTTAGGTTACTGACGGCTGAGTAACACAGACATGCCCTCACAAACACATTGATAAAAATATGTGCAAAATTACATTAGCTCATCGCTGTAATAGGATATCTTTAGGTAAAAATTCATTATAAGGCTCTATCCCAAATCGTGGGTTTCCTTTTCGGTTCCTTGAATAGGATGCGAAATCCTTAGGTTTCGGAAAAGCTTCTCTCACAGAAAGGAAGAAAACTAGTTGGCCAGGCAAAACCTGTGATACTGAATCCTGTAGAATTTTGGTCTCAATTTTACTCTGTGTTCTAACAAATTTCAGTATGTTAGAACTTCCTAAAGATGAAGCAGGTTACCCAGAGAAGAAAAATCGAGGGAACAAAATACGAATGGAACCTTATGGTGGAGTTTTGCTGTTTATATACGTCAAGTGTTGATGTGCATATATAACAAAGGAATACAAGTGACCGGTAATAACAATCCCCTTTCTTTATTCACTAGATCAGGAAGCACCACACCTGCTGCGAAACCTCAGCGACCACACAGTGGCCATCAGCAGCTCCACCACGTTGGACTGTCATGCTACTGGCGTCCCAGAGCCTCAGATAACCTGGTTTAAAAACCACCACAAAATCCAACAAGAACCCGGTAAGAGATTTTGTTTTCCTTGAATTCGCTCTTTCTCATCATTCTCTTCTTCCCTCAACATTCCTCTCACCTCCCTCCCGTACTTCTAGAACCTCTTGCCAGTACAGTTTTGGTTCATGCCGATAGCAACTTTAAGTGAGGAGTTTGAGCCCGTCCTTATGCACCCCATGTGCCGAACCATGTAGAAAGATCCATACAGAATCTGCTTTAAGTGGTGCATTCATAAATAAATGGTAAGAGCCCCTTAGACATCGTGTCTGTTCAACTTGACAACAGGGCAAGTGAGGAGTTCGTGCCTTGGTTTGAGGTACAGCAAAGCTTTGAACATCTGGTCTAGAGAGGAAGTCCAGGGAAGTTGTATAATCTTTTAAATTGATAGTAAGTGCATTAAAATGATTTGGTAAAAAGAATATTTTAAATGATAGAATACTGGCAAAAAAAAACCCTGAAACTAATGGTCATGTGTTAATTTTCTTTCAAGAAAAAATATATTTAAGAACAACTAGACTTAAATCAGTACGTATCAACGTTGTCTGTGGCTTGCCTCATAATTTTGTCATTAAATAAGATTAAAATAAACTTATTTATGATTTTGCTTAATAATTCCATTTACATGAAAAATAAAATTGGACCATTTATCTGCAACATCCCAACAACCTAAATCAAATGACTAGCACTATGGAATGGTCCTTGAATGTGAGTCCTCTATGCAAAACAAAATCTCCATTTGAGTGTGATGCACAGAAGGGGGTGGTGGTAGAAGATCTCCAGTTTTAAGATGTCTTAGAAATGCCTTACACTAAGCTGGTCCCAAACTAACCACCTCACATCATTTTTCTCCATCAAGCAGCGCCTCCTCTCATACTGACGTCATTCACTTCATCATCCAAACCAGAAGCTGATGACCTCCCCTTCGTCCTTCTCTAATCTGTCACCAGGCTGAGCAGGTTATGTCTACTAAATACGAAATACTTCTCAAGTCCATTCTTCCCTCCACTCTCCCGTTGTCATTCTCTGGGTTCAGGAGCTCATTATCTGTCTCCTGATCTCTGCACCTCTTTTTTTTTTTCTCTCTTGGAATCTTATTTTCCACACAGCTGGATAAGATGCACATCACTTCCCTGTTTCAAGTTTTTCACTGGCTCTCTATCCCAGGACCAAGTTCAAGCGTCTGACAGAGAAGGCCCTCAACAAATGGCCCACCCTACTTCTCCAACTCCATGCTTACCGCCCCCCTACTTTGCCTTGAACCTTATATTCTAGCAGGTGCCAAACTCTTGTAGATCGCTGCACACATTATGCTGGTTCAACCCCTCTGCTTCTTTTGTGCTTGTGTCCCCCCCTCTGCCTGGAGTATCTTCCCTTCATCTAACGCCTTCCTGTCCTTTTAGACCCAGATTGGGTGTTCTTCCTCCAGGAAGCCTTATTCAACCCCTGCAATGAGGGGGCAGATCCTCCAGGGGTCTTTATTATTTATAAGTGTTTCTATTCTCTCTTAGAGTTATTTTATAATCATCAGTTCATCTGTGTATTATCCATGCATATTTCCACTGCTCTCTTTCTGTACCATATCATCAGTTCATGTGTATGCTCTCTTCCTACATGTTTATCATCATATCATGCCTCATCTTGAGGGCAGACAGTATATCTTTTTATCCTCAGAACCTGGCATAGTGCTTGGCAATCAATGTTCTATGAATGAATGAATGAATGAATGAGAGTTTTTCAGAAAATCTTATTCTATCCTTAGCAGGTTCACCTGGTAGCATGAATGCCTGGACTTAGGAGTGATTGGGAAAGCTGTATCATAGAACTTTTAAAGCTAAAGAGATCTTTGGAATATCTTTAGTCCCATTTGTAGGACAGAAAATTTAGGCCCAATGAGGTAAAGTGATTTGCCCAAGAAGACACACTATTAAGATAGGTAGTTTCATAGAAAATGAATTCTTGAGGTATTCTACCAAAACAAAAAGATGAATACATGAATAAATAAATAAATAAAGCAGTGTCTGTAACAGTACCTGTAACATCCTCCCTTTAGAGATTCAGAGTTCACATTAGTATATTAAAGACGCCAAGAAGCCTTATAGTAAAGAAATCAGGTAAATTGCTTTAAAGTATTCCCACAAATAACTTGATCACAAAATACATTTTACGAAATATTAATGTAAGATATTGGGTTCTTTGAAAGAAGTAAATTTGGCTTGTGTTCAGTTTTCATACTTTGGATGTGGGTTAAAGAATTAGAGTTCAATTTCGAAAGCTTGTGGCCATTCTGGGACTAGAGGGTAGACAAGGCAAGAGGGTATGTTAAGGCAGTTACCACAAATGGAAAAAGATTATGAGGTGCGAGGGGAGGATTGAGTCCTACCATCGCCCTCATGGGTCAGGGAATTTGGGCAACTCACTTATCCTTCCTCTCTGAGCCTCTGTTTCCTTGTTTATACAACTGGGAGAATACTGACAACACAAAGATGTGGTAAGGTTTAAATGAGTTAATATCACTAAGCGTGCCTCTATTTATGGCTGAGTAAATGCTGCCTTCTGACCCACCTCATTTACATAGAAATTGGCCAATGAGTTTTCAGGATTTGTCGGAAGGTGTCAGAGGAGTTAATTAATAATTCAGCTCAAATGTCTAACACTTCTATATCCAATAAAGATATCTTCCTCCTAGCTTTCTTTGCTTTTCAGAGGGCCAAGAGAAGAATATCTAAAATAAGTCTTATATAAATTCTTACATAAAATCTTTTATAAATATCATTCTACTATGCTACTGTTGGCATTTATGGAGTTCAACTGTATTAAGTCGTCCATTTTCTCTCCCTTTATTCACACCTTAAAATGGCTATAGCCTTTTGGAAAAGAATTTCTTAGTTTTCTGGACATAATCTCTTACATGCATATAGTATTTATAAAGTTTCATATGTAAGATTTCCAATTTAAGACAGCAAATTCAGCAGCCAATGCAATAAGCTATATGACTATGACCCTGTGTGTGTGCACATAGACATCTTCAAAAATACCAATTCTTTTATGGTTATTTCTTTTTTTTACAAACCTATGGGTAAAGATTACAGGTAACCAAAATGACAATCCTTGACTCACTGGTTATTCCAAAGCTGAGCTGGGAAAACATCAAGATCACAGCCTGGAAAAGACTGAAAACTAGTCCATTTTAAACTAAGCCTTTGGAAAGCCATACTGAGAATAAATTTTAAATAAAGTTTAAATAATTAACAATTAAATATATATTTAATGAGACAGCTTTACAAATACCCAAATACAGAATTAAACATATTTAGTGAAGTATATTGTTATAAATATATATCGTTTATGAATATAAAATATAGAACTAAATATAAATGATGGTTTACAATTAATAAAGCTAATTTTTTAAAGTTTAAAAATCCGGAGAATAAACCACACGTCCTTTAAAGACCTGTGACGCCTGGCAACTCAAAAAAACATTGATATACTGAGAGGATTTTAGTGGCCTTGGGTCTTGGCTAGGATCTGGCCCATCATCATTGCCATTTGTTAAATGATAACTTACCCTATTCCAAAAAAAAATAGGAGAGAGGAAACAGGGCACATGTGAGAGCTCACGCTCGGGACAAGTGGCCATAAAATGCCTGCTGAAAGAGCTTATGGGAGAGCTTTTCTCCTCCTTCCTCCTTTCCTTTCAGGAAGCCCTTCAGTGGGACACAGCCATTCTAGAGAAGAAATGCAGTTTCAAGAAAGCATTATGAAAGCTGAGTAGTGCTTTCTTGGGCCAAAGGGCATCCACAGGAATAAAAGGGAGGCTACACACGCAGGCCCAGGACAGCATGTACGCAGGGGACACGAGGCAGTCTCCAGCAGGGCACCCCCTGTAAGTCACGCAGCAACCCCCCCGCCCCCCTGTGCACTGAGCGGCCCTCCCCGCCCTCCCACTGCACACCTGCAGGCTTTGGGGGTCTCCGTGGCACTGCCCTGCCTCGTGGATTGCCATTTCCTCCCGCCATCCCCGGACAGGACAGTCTTTACTTCCCGGCCAGGGGACCACAGAGGCTGCCTCCACTAAGGATCCTTCTTTCACATTCCAGTACATCACGACTCTTCCCTTCCTTTGATATCTGGTTTATTTGCAATTCATGTCACAGAATGTCACTTATTCCCTTGTTTCATGTGGGCTTGTTTTGAAAACCTTCGAAGATAGATCTAATATCTTAATAGGTCTTCTTTATGAAAAATAATAAAAGTGTATTGAGCACTCACCAGGAAACAAGGCACTGTGTGAGATTTACAAATATTTCATTTACTTTTCGCAACTGTCATCATAGGTAGGTACTGGTGTTAGATGCCATTTCACGGATCTAGTTTAATTTAACAAGCACTGAACTAGGTGCCTGGTCCCGTTCCAAGCATGTCACTTATTCATCATCATAATCCTATGAGGTTTGCTAAATTATGATGCCTGTTTTACAAAGGAAACATGAGGAGGCGTAGACACAGGAGAAATAGCAGACTAGGTCATAGAGCCTGTGCCTAGCTGCCCGAGGCTGGGACCAGAGGGTGAGTCTGGAGCCGACACTCTGCACACTGAGCATGGGGGCTGACCGCTGGTGTACATCGCTCTCAGGAACATATAAGCACCACTTTTTTTTTTTTAAGTAGGCTCTGTGCCCAGCATGGAGCCCAACGTGGAGCGCAACGTGGGGATTGAACTCAGGACCCTGAAATCAAGACCTGAGCTGAGATCAAGAGTCCGTGGCTTAACCCACTGAGACACCCAGGCCCCCCATAAGCACCACTTTTAAATGACCTCATGGGCGTAAACAAGCATATTTTTAAAACAATGGATATTTTCTCATTTCTAACTCTTAAAGCTTAAGATTCCCAAAGACATAGTTTATTTTTTAAATGTTAAAAATTTACAGCATATTAAAAATATTTAAAGCATTTTTTTTAAAGAAGGCATGCCATGGAGTGCCTGGCTGGGTGGGTAGAGCATGGAGTTCTTAACCTTGGGGCTATGGGGTTCCAACCCCACCTTGGGTATAGAGATTACTTAGAAATAAAATTTTAAAATAAAATAAAAGCAGACATGCCCTTATGAAGTTAAAAATGATTCTGAACCCAAATCCAGTTACTCTGAAGTTTTAAAAAAGTCCAGAATTTATTACAGCAGTCCAACACTCTCTTAGTCATTCAACAAATATTTATAAGGCAGTACTTTGTGCCTGGTGCTGTGTAGGCCCTGTCAATACAGCAGCGAATGAGAAAGCTAAAATCTGAATAACGAAATATCTAAAGTAATTAGTTTGTGTAGGTGTTTAAATGAGCCCAACCTCTTGAAGCCACAACCATGTGTGTCCTAATTTATTCACTACCATCATGCCAGTTGGGCACCAGAGTTAATCAGTCTAAAAATGGAATCAGGTGAATTAATAAATGGGACAAGTAGAAAATATGTCTCCATCACAGGATTAAAATACCTTGACTACATTAGTTAATTGAAAAAAATACATCCTCTCTGTTTCAATTTTCCTACTTTAATGCTGCACATACAACAGATTCTCAATTATTCCTTGTTCACTGAATACGCAGAATGGAAGAGAAATAAAGAGGAAATAAGAGAAAATGTGCCAGAAGTAATACAGGCAGGAGAACTTCCAAACTAGAACCAAGGAAAGAAACCACTCGGAACTCTTAGGAGGGGCTGATAGGGTGCAGAGTGTTGTAGAGTAAAGTAGTTTGAGACGTGTTTACTTTGAAGAGACAGGTGAACAGAGAATTGATTGGCTAAAGCGAGTAGAATCTCGAGGACCGGACAGGAAAGAAAACTGTAATATGGAAGGCCCGATAGCAAGTTGGAGATGAATTCTATTGGTCACTGGCTGCTTTGAGCATGGTTTAATTCTTAGGAGTGTACAGACAGCAAGCGCCTCTAAGAAACATCCATTTCCTTTGGGTTAGAAATGTAAAGGGTTTGCACCCAGGCTTGGAGCGATAGTATGAAGTCACCCTGGAGAACGTGTGACCTCCAGGGTGTCTTCATTACTTCTCCAGCCACCTGCCCAAGAGACGGGCAGTTCCTCCAAAATGATCAGAAAGTCGCCTTTCTACCTCACACACTTCCCAGATTCTCCTAAAAATGTCCAAAGCTGTGACAGAGCTGAGCAAGCTCCGCAGGTGGGACCTTTGGCACCGGCTTGATGACACTCTAAGGACACCAGAGGGGTGTGCGGAGTAGATACGGAAGGTCTACCTAACTTAGTATTGCTTCAATACAAGCACAGACCGCCTCCCAAGCAATTGTGCAGAGTAAATGGGGTTTCTGAAAAAGTCATTAAAATGCTGGAAAAAGTAACAAACTTTCCTCTGAAAATATTTAAGAGGACAGAAAACAATGCCGCTCTGAGACGGTTCTAGTAAAGACTGCCTAAACCGAGAAATCATCAGCAAACTATTGCTTAAACTGAATTTCTGTGGCAGCAAAACCTTTCAGAATATTTTAAGATCGGAGCACTACGACGATGGGAACAACAAAGAGTTTAGAAAGAATAAATTCCTTCTTAAATAGCCTGAGGCTGGAGCAGGAGAGGATCACTCTAACCCTCTGATTAATATTCTTTCCTCAATTGGGTCTTGGTCACTAAGACTATTTATCTAAAGCCCGGAAGGTGACAGCTTCCCTGTTACCACTAGACCACTGACACCAAATATCTGTACCTGTAAGTGCATATCCAGATGGAGGGGACCAGCTGTCTTTGTACGGGGCGGGGGGGGGGCACAGAATGACATCTGAAGTGTAAAGTGGTTTTCATAGATCTAGGAAAGATCTGAAGGAAGGTAGAGGAGAGAAATGAATGGGGATGTTGATGCCTGGGGATAATAAAGTGACTACCTGTCACCCTCAGGCTGTTAGAATCAATAGCTTCGCTTGATTTCTTGGTAATAATAAAATTCAGAAATGTCAATTATCTTTTTGCAAAACATGAGGAGTAATTGTGTTTTCTTTCTTATGAAATCCATCCTTATGGTGCATAATGAATGAAGATGTGTTGCAGAAAAGCATGTGCAAGATTCCTGGTATGCATAGGGCAGTGCATGGGGCGGGGGGGGGGGGGGGCTGGCCACTCTGTTTATCACCCCCGCTGAGCCCCGTCAGTCCGCTGATGTGACTGGCTAAGCAGCTGCTCTCACCATTCCTTTCTCTCCAATATGTGTCTTTAAGGTAAGGGGGTCCGTGTACCCAGACCAAGAACCGCCAAGCTTCACACATGGCTATCCCGGTAGGTCCTCTCCCTGGCCAGAATCTTTTAACAAATTCTCAATGCTTAGTTGTGCCCCTGACAACAATATAAGCATAGGGAACCTTCTGAACATGTTGCAGAACCAAGACTCAGTTCTTTTCTAAGGATAAACTTCCATTTAGAAGGTGAGGAGAAAGGAGTGGAATTAAGGAAAGAGTACAGTGAGGAAACAGCAGGGAAAACATTTCCTTGGTTGGTACTGCCAGAGTTCAGAGCTACAAGCCCAACCCCAGATGAAAGAGGAACCCTGACTTTGACCATGGCCTCAACATGGTGAAGAAATGGAGGCTGTCACTTTATGGGCGTCTGCAATTACTTGTCACTGTCGGGCTGGTTCAGTGAGACTGACAAGTACAGCTGTAGAGCTCTCTGGTTTACACCCAGAAAAGTGAAGTAACCCACGGGTAGAGTCCCATTTTGTATTGAAAACCACTAGAAGTCATTTATGGAGAATCAGTCTTGACACCCAAATCTATCTCTTCACTGAGGTAACGTCCAGCTTATTTAGGTCTTGTACGTATGTAGCTAACCCTATCCTCATGCTTTGTCTAAAGAAAATTTCTTGGATGCGCTTTCCAGCACAGCATCCTCATCCCCATCCAGCCCAGAAAAGCCTCCCGAAAGTTGTGAGCCACAGCAAGACCCAGCCGAGGGAATCACACACATTAAGGCAGCACAAGTCCCCGGATATAAACAGTGGGGCTGCCTGCTGGTTGTTTAAGTGTGGTTTTGTGCCTTTTAAAAAGTCCTCTTGATTTTCAAATGAAAAATTTAGATCATAAGAGATGGAAAAGAACCGGAGAACGTGAGCATCACTTTAGAAAGAGCCTCTCCCTTTTTTTTTATTATGGCAAAATACACATAACATAAACATTACCACTTAATCATTAACGGGTACAATTCAGTGACACCAAAGATCTTCACAGTGTTGTGCACTTTTTCATCACCTCAAAGAGAAACCTCATACCCATTAAAGCTTTTGACTGTGAATGAACCTCCTCTTTCGATTCTTTCTGTGACGTCTCGCAACACACGGAACTGTCATTTGAGCATGGCCAAGATCAGCAGCCTGTTTTGTCTGCCGAGCAGCCAGGGCTTGAGGGACCAGGAGCAGAGAAAAAGAAACGGGGAATGAAGAAAAAACAAAGAGAAGAGAAATAGAGACATGGGGGTGTGAGGGTAGACCCTCCCAGCGATCACCCCAGAGATCTCAGAGATCTCAGGGCTGCACCCTGTCCAAAGTCACTAACCCTAAAACTAACAGCCACTGTCTGGGTGCTAGAGTGGGAGGCATCTCCATCCCCAATCTACAATTTTCTGCTTACACCGAAGACTGCCTGGCAAAAGAAGGAAAAGCCATACTCTACCTTAGATAATTCTGTACCTCCATCTCTTAGCAGAACAATTAAATCAGGTTTTTCTATTCCATGTGTCCAAGTACAAACTTGAAACAGTTTAACCA